CGGGTGGATTAAAAGGCTAGTTCGTGAATTTTGATACATAGTAACTGCGACATAGTAGCCTTACACTTAGTCGAAACAGATTGATAATGAATAAGTAAGCAGTAATAAATAAATGCTAAATAAGTAGTACTAAATAAGAACAAAGGATGATATCACTCGACATGAACGATATCTACCTGCGTAGTTTGAATAAAGAATTCATTTCAAAATTTCATGAAGGTGAACTGGATCGACAACAACCTGATGAAGACTAGAAGAGATAATGATCGAAACGTTGCGATAATGATAGGTTTGATTTTGTTTGGTTTGTTTTACAGCATATCAACGCATTGAGTCATTTAACGTGAAATTTAATTTTTTAAAATAAAGTCTTATATGTGAACTGGCAAAAAATATTTCTAACATAAGACTGCGGATCGTGTTATTTCTCTTACGAATTTCAATAGTGATTTTCTAAGCGTGGCTTAGATGTGGTACAAAGCCAAAAAAATGGAGCACCCAGTGAGGATCGATCTCACTACTCAATCATAAGTGATCTATCAAGACAAGTTTTCTAACCATTACGCCACGGTGAGGTGCCCTTCATTTTCTAAGCGTAGCTTGCATGAGGTATATGGCCGAAATTACGAAGCATATAGTAAGGATCGAACTTACTTTTCGGTCGCAACTGATCTGGCGAGACACACCTGTTAACCATTACACCACGTCGAGATGCCCTTCTTCGCAATTGCAATATGTAAAGTGAATCAGCATTTTGAAAAAGTTCTTTAAACTTTGTTGTTTGGTAGTACAGGATGTTCCAAAAGTCTTGGACACATTTTAACATTGAATATCTCGAAAATTATTAGGGATCTAAAAACGCGCCTGACATATTCTGAAAGAATTTAATTTCAAGTTTTATATGGAATGTTCAAAGATGTTCAATGTGAGCACCGTTGGTCACACAGCATGTCTCAAATCCGACATCTTCCAACTTCTCTTGCATTGCAATGCAAAAGTCATGACGAGCTGGTTTATCAGTCTCCTGCAACTGTTGGGTTAACTGTAGCTTGTAAATTGCCATGTGCAGTCGTCTTTCAAAAACTTGTCGAACAGTTGTTGTAGGAAGCTGAAGTTCCTTAATGGCTCTCCTGATCGATTTACGGGAGCTCTGTTCGAAGGCAGTTCGAACTCGCTCAACGCTATCATCTGAAGTTGAGGGGCGTCCTGCTCTCTTAGCTGGGCAGAAATATCCATCCTTCATGAATTTACAATGTCATCTCAATATCGACTTCCTTTCTGGTGCCTTTTTTCGGAATTTTGTGCGAAATACACGTTGAACAAGTGTCCATGATTCAGCTTTTGCAAATTCAAGGACGCAAAACGCCTTTTCTGGTTGAGTGAACGTCATTACTGGATCTAAAAAATATGAAAAAATCATTAGCATTACAAAATACTTAATGAATGTAGCTTTAAAATGGTACCAGTTTCATCTTACTACCATTCATAGTTCAGCAGATATGAAAACTTGAAATGTTTCCAAGACTTCTGGAACACCCTGTATTTTAAGTGGATTGCATTAAAATTGCTGTAGTTTGTCAGTATGTGTTTTATGGAGAATGAATCTTAGCATACCACACATATCAGAGCATCTTCCTATTTTAGGATATATGAATGGGTTATGGTATGTTATATTCCGTGCTAAGGGAATAAATATTTAACACCAAGTGGATAATAGAAGAAAGGTTTATTGTACACAACCAGTACAATATGAAATATGTTACAGTTATACATACAAGTCAATATAGTAGTGAGTGCCACTAATTGGAATGTCGGACGTGCTTGCATCTTCTTGCTCTCACTCTTCCTCAAGTCTCTTGTAGACAGTGAACTTTATAGGTACTTACTGCCTATAGTGTAATCATTCATGGGGGTGACTGGTTATTCCATTACATCATGGTAGTATATCCAATATGGAACCTGGACATAATAACTTCTCTTCTAGTTTGGTGTTTCTGATGCCATTCTCTTTTTGGACAGTTTATTGTTTGGGCAGTGTAATGATGGGGATATTAGTCCCAGTGTAAAAACTATAAATATACACTAGTTAGTTATGGACAATCATATTATGGAATGTGTCTGAAGAGATGTATAACTACAATAACTCCAACATCTGGCAGACTCCGTGCTACGTAATGTAACCGGGGTGTCATTCAGAAGAATATTAGTATAATATTAGGTTTATAATCTTTTCGGCACCATCTATACATAAGATTCATTGTATTAATCTTAGATTTGTTATTGTAATATTTTGATTGTATTTCGTGTGACTTGGGTTCTCTTTTTACAGTTTATCTCACGCTTCCGTGACAAAAGAAGAAAACACTGGTTAAAATACTTTATAAACAATAATATTATTTTACTTTAAAAGTAAAAAAAGAATATTCAAATTGTGTTCATTTTTTCAGATCATTTTCTCGTCGTCTGTTGAACTTTGTACGTTTTTCTTGACATAGAACGCGCATGATTAACACCACGAAGTCGATGTTTCACGTTTTACTGATCTTTCTTTACATTCTGCACACGAATCCCGAATCAATGTCATAGGTTAAAAGTGTCCGAGAAGCGAATATTAATTTTCAGATACAGCCAAGTTTATTTTAATCATTTCCTCTCTAAACAAGACAACAAAAAAAACTAAGACTAAAGAGTTACTGGGGGTGAAAGAAAATGAGAAAAACCTTAGTGATGAGAAAGGAAAATAAAAGACCAAAATTTAAGAAGGCAGAAGATGGTGATTGATATTACAATTAAATATTGAAAATCGTAGATAACAGACAAGTAAGGCAACGTAGTAGTGTTAGAATAGATTATTAGAATAGAACTAACAGTTACATTTACACACTGTATGAAATTATTAAGCAAATGATATAAACTCCAAAAATTCAAATTTGGTTCGAAAAAAAGTCAAATTTTAAACAATCAGTTTAGATGTCAAAACAAAGCCGGAGTTAAAATTTTAGGTGGTATCAATATGTTTTATTGAATTTATTTTACGTATTCTACAAACACTGCCGTCTGAAGTTATTAGGCGAAAACAAAATTTCACATAAAAAGGTAATAAAATCTTCAAAAATTGATCAACATCTATAACATAAAAAATAACAAACACGTATGATAAGTCTTTGAATCCTGTACATTTTAATATAAGGACGCTTCTTCTCAATAACCGCCAGTATTCTATCATCCATTGATTTTATTATTGTTTTTTTCACTTCAGCAGGTTCCAAGGTAGTTTTAATTGTTTCCCATAGACCTGTTTTGCTGTTATATTATTTGTCACCTTCGTATAATTTCATCTTCATAATTGACCATAGATTTTCTCTCCTCTAAATCTTTTATGCTCAAAGAATTCACGGGTAAACTTAGATACCTAACAAGGAGCATCGTCATGCATAATTAAACACTTCATTTTGAAAATGAGAGACTTGGACTTGTACCATACAAAGAAAGTCTTATTTATAAAATCGCAATAGTTATCACTATTCAGTTTAACTCCTTCATCGACTTAGAATGGTCCAATAATGGTTTGGTCGACAATTCTAGCCCATATCATAACACTACCTTCTCCTTGCCTTCTTTCAACCACAGGAACGCATGAATTGGATAAAAATTCGTCCTTTAGCCCATCCATTAGGTCCATCGAATGTCACACGAGATTTGTCCGTGAAAATTACTTTTAAAAAGGCCAATATCCATGCATTTATAGGCCCAATTTTGATACTTTAAAATATTTGTGAGAGGCCTAGGTGAAGTTTTTAGCGATCCCAATTCACAAAATTTGTTTCCCTAAATTCCAGTCTTTTCAAAGATCTGAGTGTTAGTCAAAAGTGGTTGTTTTGCCATAACTTGCTTTAGTTTATGTTCATCTCAAGGAAGCAAATTCTTAAGGTTTTTTCATTTGCTTCGAGTTCTCAACTTATATTTTCAACAGCCTCTTCTATCGTTTTATGATCACTGCAAAGCTCCTTTTATATCTCCAACATGGACATTTCCTCACTCAATAACTTTATTTTCTGTTTTTCAACAGTTGTTTGATCCTTTCCTTTACCCATGTTTCAACATATATTACGGACAGAAATAGTTTTTATTAGATTTCAGAGGTCTTACGTTAATTTTACTTTAATCTGAATATTAACTTCACTCAGTCCATTTTCTTAACTTCCAAATTTCTCAAAAGCTAACCATTAAAATATCAGAAAATGTAGTTAAATATTTTACTAATGCTGGAAAAAGACGGGTTTAAATATTGGTTCAGAATTTTTGAGTTATTTGATTTGCATAATAGCTTCAGACAGGCGGTTACTGTTTCAACACTGAATCGTTAAACATAGTTGCCAAGTACTTTTTAAATTTAGAATCAATTTTATTTTGATTTTTTGGTATTACTATGTAGAAAAACATCTACTGAAGTCTTATGCTATGTCACCGTTGTTTTATATTTCAATTATTATTTCAGTAATCTTATTGTTTCCCAATAGTCTAAGATCAACAACATCTATATTAGAATTTCATGTGGTCCTCCTGACTTGTTCATCTCGATCCTTGCCTATCATACCGCAGATTCTAATAATGCTGCCTGTTTTTATGCATTGTAAGTTTCTCTCTTCTGTTCTCATGCTCTTTGAAGTATTAATTCCATCTTTTCTTTATCTGTTGAGAGTGTTACATTTTTTAGACTTTCCCAATGAAGAGCGCGTTTTCTCGCCTGTTATTTATCTTATCCTTTTATATATGCCTGATGCGTCTATTTTTTGTAGTCTTTTAATATCTGTTTCATTATTTTCAATTGAAAGGGAATTGTCAGTGGTCAGGAATTAAAGTGTACTTTCACAACAGAATATAACTATTGTATGTATAATTTTATAAACGTCTTATCATTGATTAGTCAATGTTTCTGTTTATCTTGGTGTGTTTGTTTCTGATGAAATTTTGTCATTGTGAATAAAGTGATTGTATTTTTATTGTCGGCCCTGAGATCCACGTTGTGTGTCGAGGTGTTGCCAGGGTAACAGGTTTGCTATGTTCATAATTCTCGTCAGCTGCACTTGGACGACGAAGGAAGTTGGTAAACAATAAGAAGAAAAGACAAACATTATATGCTTACCCAGTTGTATGGAGGGCGCGAATGGGTGGATGGGCGACAGGACGTGTCGCTTCTTATCCATCTGGTGAACTGAAAATGGTATCGATCCGCTGAAAAAGAACAGATAATGGTGAATAAGAGAGTGGAGAGTAGAAGTGTTGCTTTGTGTGTGAAGTGATAGATAGATAGATAGATAGATAGATAGATAGATAGATAGATAGAAACGAATGAACTGATAGAGAAAGATAAATGTACTATTAGATAAATAGAAACTTAGAAACGAATGAACTGATAGAAACGAATAGATATATAGATAGATAGAAACGAATGAACTGATAGATAGATAGATAGATAGATAGATAGATAGATAGATAGAAACTAATGAACTGATAGAGAAAGAGAAATGAATGTACTAATAGATAGATAGAAACGTAGAAACGAATGAACTGATAGACAGAAATGAATAGATACATAGATAGAAACGAATGGACTGATAGGAAGGTAGAAACGAATGAACTGACAGAAATGAATGAAATGATAGATAGACACGTATGGACAGACAGATAGATAGATAGATAGATAGATAGATAGATAGATAGATAGATAGAAAACAACGTATTCAGGTAGAAAATGAATACAGGACAGACAGACAGACAGATAGATAGATAGATAGATAGATAGATAGATAGATAGATAGATAGATAGATAGATAGACCGACAGGGAGATAGAAAACAACGTATTCAGGTAGAAAATGAATACAGGACAGATAGATAGATAGATAGATAGATAGATAGATAGGAGATAGAAAAACAACGTATTCAGGTAGAAAATGAATACAGGACAGACAGACAATAGATAGATAGATATTCATAGAATGTAGAAAATGAATAGATAGACCGACAGGGAGATGAAAACAACGTATTCAGGTAGAAAATGATATACAGGACAGACAGACAGATAGATAGATAGATAGATAGATAGATAGATAGATAGATAGATAGATAGACCGACAGGGAGATAGAAAACAACGTATTCAGGTAGAAAATGAATACAGGACAGACATACAGATAGATAGATAGATAGATAGATAGATAGATTGAAATATACTGATAAATAAATAAAAATAAGTATGTCTTTAGATAGTTATCAGTGTTTTATTCCTTATTATCATTCTCAGTTTCTGTTCTGCCATCCATGTACGCGAGATCATTCCATAGGTTATTCCCGCTTTCTCTCATTCTTCATTTGTCTTCAACAGGTGCTGTAAGTATGGAATTCTTCAAGTACTCTTTACTCTTCAAGTGTCTCAGAAATTGCAACTGCCTCCTTCTTTGAAGTGTAAGTGAACTATTTGTTTCCATTTCCACTTAAAACATCCTAAATATAATCTACCAATGTTCGCGATCTGCAAAGCAAATAAATGATTATAGGCTCAAATATAAGAATTGACATGTAAAATCAAGAACGCAACCAAAGTTTCAATTTATTGCAAACGCAACAAATTAGCTGTCTATATTTCTGAGATGAGGTATTATGTACACTATTTACATTATTCGGACTATTGTCCTCATCTTTGAGGCCATAGAAGAGAACATGACTAGAGACTGTGTGTACGCTATCCCGTGCAGCTGCGGAATGAAATATAAAGGGGAGACAGGCCGCTCCCTTAAGGTAAGGCTTCAAGAACACTAGAAAGCTGTAGAATGAGGGGAAGTGGAAAAATCAGGCGTGGCTGACCACATATGGAGAGAAAAGGGAGATCACCGCCCTCTGTGGGATCAGGTTGAGATCATAGACAAGGAACATCATTGGAAAATTCGTAAACTTAAGGAATCAGCACATATGCTAGGCCACAAAATTTCCTGAGCCGACCAAGCATAGAAATAAATACAATATGGGAACCAGTAATAAGGAGTGCCAGAAAAAAGCAATAATAACAACAAAAATTGCAATATGAGCTCTGGTAAAAATATGAATTGATAACAGCAAAAATTGCAATATGAGCACTGCTAAAAATGCTTGCTGAGACATTAGGTTTATAATATCCAGAAATTCATACACAGATGTCCTCAATACCCGGTTAAGGCAGTGGAGAATTTTCAGAGGGAAATTAACAGGAGATAACTGATAACTGACATCCATTAAACATGGCACGTGAAACTAGAACAGTCTATCCCAGTGAGCGAAATAAAGGGTTCAGTTCGACATTCCAACTACCTGAAGAAGGCCGGAGCGTAGAACGGCCAAAACGTTGTAATAAATATAGCAACAAAGATAAGGACAATAGTCTGAATAATGTTAATAGTGCAACAAATTATTTAAGACAAATCAATAACGATCGGTAAGGTATCGGTGATCTTAACGATTTTTGAATACTTATGATATATGAGAATAATAATTGTAATACAATGTAACCCGGATATAAGAGAGTTGTCGGGACCGGAGAAGAAGTCTCTTATATCCGGGTTTCTCTTATATCCGGGTTTGGTCTATTTTGTTTAGGTAAGTATGGGAACACTTTGGGACCAGAGAAAATCTCTCTTATATCCGGGTTTCTCTTATATCCGGGCCTCTTACATCCGGGTTACACTGTAATAGTTTTCATTCGGCATTCATTGATTGAGCAGCCAGAACTGCTTTCGATTGAAGTTTATAAAATCTTTCTCTTAAACAATTTTTTGGGAAAATTAGATTCTCAAATCCAGTAGCTGTTATCGCTTTTTCCTTCCTAACCTTTTGTTTGAAGTTGGGTGGAACGTCATTATCATGATTTTCTCTTCGAGTTGCATGGGCTATCTCTTTTAGTTGTTGCTGCTGTTGCTATTCCTCAAGTGATGCGGTTTCTGTTATTTGGTAAAGTTCTTTATTTGTGATTATGTAGCGCTAGTCCAAAATGTTCAAAGACGAATGACCTTTATGAAAACCCTAGGCTTTATTCGCTCAAAGTATTTTGACTGGCCGTTCGGTACCCCAGTGTACCTCTTTGATAGGGTAGTTATTTAATCTGTTTCTCAGACGCCTGCTCAGACACATCTGTGTTTAATTAACGCCCACACAGCTAACCTATGGTTAATACTGTAATAATGAGCGGACGTTAGTTATATTTTCTGGAATGGTAAACAATTTGAGCAAGGCCAGTACGTTAAAACCCTCGGTCACGATGACTTGTGACTTCGCGCTAGCACAACCATAGGTAGTGAAACTAGCTTTCGAGTTCTGATTTTGTAGCCCGCTTCCATCGCTGGTATAGTTGCGTCCTCTGGATTCAATGTTAATAATCGAGCCAAGCTAAAAAGAGTAGCAAGACTTTCTATATCTTACTTTGCACTTGAGATGCACAGTGGTTTATAATTACGACACGATTGATTGCTAAGGAGGGGGGTGTTTCCGTCGAGACGATGGGGACGAGGTTTCAGGCTAAGAGCTTGCTGTTTCTGAATCCAAGTCCACACAATTATTGATAAAGCTTCAGTTGTAAATATTTATTTTCATATTTGACAGCCACATTTCCCAGACAAATTAGTACGAAAATTTCTCCTTGGTTTTATATGCGAAACTGATTAATATTTACTCAGACGTCATAATCTACTAGAACCGTTATCCTGTCTAGCTACATAATACAGAGTGTCCTAAAACATTGACATAATTTTGTAGTTGAATAGCATACTAAAATTTCGGTTAAATGATCTAAAATCTTAATATGTGTAAAAGATAAGTTGACTGCGTGAGGTCAGCTCAATGAGACTATACCAGGAAGGTGGATCAGGCATGCCAGTCATAATGACAATGTCCTGTTGAAATGGCCACCATGTTCACCTGACATGACATCTTGTGATTTTTTTTCTATTGTGTTATGTGAAAGGACAGGTATATATCCCTCCTCTTCCTACAAATCTAGAGGAACTTAAATAGAGAATCTCTGAGGTGCTGAAGAATGTTACGCAAGACATGCTACAGCGTGTCTGGCAGGGGCTGGACTACCAACTTGACGTCTATCGTGTCACCGTTGGTGCGCATATTGGACATTTGTAAAGCTTTGTGAAATCGGTTATAAAATCTCAAGTCCTTTGAATATATTTGTTAGAATTTCGATAAATAAATCTTTTATTGTTGAACATCAATCCCCAACACATTGCTATGTGTTTGGTGTCAGGAATTAACAAAGCCAAGTTTACTAAATATCAACTGAACTTCCATCTCTTCAAAGAAAACAAATCAATAGATAAAAACAATATATATAGAAGAAGAAATTCGGTATCAAGAAATCAACTGAGCGCCCCAAGATATCGCCTTGATCATTTACCGGTTATATTCTTGCCATTATCGCAATCGATATAATCTGATTAGGAAGAGTTACTGTCGTATCAGTTAATTCCACCACGGATAGAATTAGGTTCATGCATCAAAATCCGGTGAAAATATTCGGTAATGGAGGCGTCTTGCATGTCACCTTTAGTCACAAAAAACGACTATTTTAAAAATAAAGTTGAGGTGCAAAATGATTGACTACTTGTTCATTGTTCAAAACGTGAACCGCTTCACCCCATGTGCACGTTAGACTATTGCACACATTCTTTGTTGTTATGAGAACATTTCGCCCGTTCTATTCTTCGGTCACCTTCAGGGCTAAAATCCCTGTCGAAAGAGATATTTTTATCTTGGCGGTTCAAATAAAAAAAATAAAAGTTGCAAATTTATCCCTGAATATATTGCTAATGAAGAAATCAAATCTTTCTTTCTTTATTTTTTACGATTTTTTACGCTACTGTTCAACCAAGAGCCACTCAAGGTGGTGGGTTACTGAATGGTGATTTTTTTATAGGCGTAACGATTGTAGATTATGAGAATATGTAGGACAACGGTTGAGCCTTGCAGAGGTTAATATTTTAGTAGTCGGGAAAGTATCCACTCGGGAGTCCGTACCATAAAGTATCTGTTCTTGGAAATGAAACTTTCTTGTATATAAACAGATTAAAACAAATGAGGAAAACAGAAACTTATATGAAAGGAAAAAAAAGGAGAAAGAGGAAAGGGAAGAAGAAGGTTTAGAGGGACGAATGAGAAAAGAAAGATAAGTGTTAAATGAAGAAGGATTAGGAAAAAAAAAAGGAAATAATATGTCTTCTTCCCGAGGATATGTCCGAAGATTAAAAAAAAGGGTGAGAAATAAAGTATTAAGTGAAATGTGTTAAAAAGGGGAAAGAAAGGACTAAAACCTTGTGCAAATTAATTGAAACAAAACGAATAAATCCATTATTACTTACTTTTTTTCGTTTTTTTTTCTCCAATGACACAGTGCACATATTAGTACTTCGTATGTGCCTTCCAAGAAGTCGTTTCTTGCAGATTGACTACAGATTCTAGACTGGATTCAAATCGGGCTAGTCTATAGTACTTTGATTTGCTCACTGATAAGGCTTGCCATTATGTTCGTGCAGCGTTAGAATTTTCGTACGCTTCCTTGGAGTAACGTCCATCGCAGACAATGGCCGTAGGACAACTAATCGATAGTCGAGACAATAGTGTCTGGGCGTGTTAAAAATCTGATGCAATCACGGATAACGCAATATTTTTCAAGGCCAAGCAAATTTTATCATACACCCCGAAAATAGATTCATATTACTATACACCATTGCAAATGACCTAATAGATTACACCCTGTCACTTCAGTGGGTCTAAAACTGATCGTATGATGAAAGAAAGGCAACTAAAGCGGTTGTTTCAAGTAATTTGCACAAGGGTGTAAGTATGAAAAAACGATTAACACGTCTCTGAAGAAAGATGAAGAAGAGACTTGAAACATCAAAAAATGTGGTTCTACAGAAGCATGCTGAGAATACCATGGGCCGAACATGTGAGCAACAACGAACTTTTAAAGAAATTGGAAACAAAAAAGGACATTTATACTTAACATCAGGAAGAGACCGTTGAAATTTCTATCGAATATAATGGGGAAAGAGGGCTTGGAAAATTTGTCACTCACAGGACAGTAAGCAAACAAGAAGGACAGAGGAAAACAACGCATAACCTACCTGGAGAGCTTGAGTAAATGGATGGCCGAGCGAGGTTTAGGAGAAATAAAAAAGATAAAATTTATTAAAAGTAACAATGTGCAAGAAATTGTGGAGAGCCATGGTCACCTACATCCTGAAAGGACACGGCATATAGAAAGAAGAACGATATGAATGCTATACTGGGTATTTCTTGATTTTCTATCGTCTTTCCTGGATTAACGATGGTCGAAAGTATTCACATCACATTGGTAAATTCTTTTAAAACTTTTCACCTGACATTAAAAGATTCAGACGACACTTCGAGATACTATTGATTAACAGACATTCCAGGAAATTTTAATCTGACGTACCAAACGTCATGAGTTAGGTACCAAGTGTCGTGTAGGATTCACTCTAGATCAGCGAAGTGTAGCAACTTGACGTGACATCGATTTTCATAATTGGTCGGGAAGACTTCAGCAGTGATGTTGAGCCATACCATCTTGATATCTATATAAAGCTCACTGATATATCTGTATTGATTGATTATTTTGTTGTTTTTCCGGATTATCAACCTTTTGCAGGTTATTTAAAACCAGAAAATATTTTAAAATTATAATGATTTTTACTCATACTAGTTCTACTAATTAACCCATAGACGAGGGGCGAAGAAGTAGATTCCTATATTTCTCAAGGGTATTTGCATGTAAGGGAATATAACGAACCCGATTGGAATTGGAACTTGGCTTTCCGATGTCCAATTCCGAGCAGTTATTCATTAGACCACCCGCACATCTAAGCTTACAGCGCATGGTATTCCCAAGCAGTTACCCCTCTAGGTACTAACCAGGCTTGAAGTTGCTTAACTTTGGTGATCGTACAAGAACCGGCGTTTTAACGTGATGTGGTATATGTAAATGTAGGATATTGTAAATAAGCCTCTCCCCTACGCATAAAAATTCGACTGATCTCATGTTGGGTAAATGTGGTCGGCATACCATTCTTCGAAAGTCTCTAGAATTGATCTCAGACCAATTCTAGGAGTCGGTGACACAAGGCATTATCCTTCTAGAAGAATCCATTGTTGTCCATGAATTGTCGCAAATCGTCACGATGCTGTGCAATGAAACTCTCACCTGTATCTACCTCATTTAAAATGGATACAACCAGCCTGGGATTCATAGCCATATGAGGTTTGTACTACTTCACATCACCCCCCCCCCCAAAAAAAAAAAAACATCGGGCCATCCTATACGTTGCCATCCATCCAGGCTGTAATTAGCGACGTCACGAAGCCAGGTGAGGCACCATATCTAGTATCGTGGTGATAACATGGACACCCTCATGGGCTTTTTGTTCCCATATTCTATGAATGCACACTGCATTGGATGATTGTTCTTTACCACAGACAATTCTAGCTTGGAGCCTCTGGTTACGATTATTAAGGCGCTGCGCTGTTAAGTGTGAGTGCTAATGTCTTCCATCTGGTACCCCCGGCACGCATGTAATACCGTATATTGAGAATTGTCAAATATCTCCACAATTTTAGAAACTGAATGCCTCATAGCTCTTGCAATCTTTATCATTCTCCGCTCGAACTTCATTAATTTACATCGACTTACCATGTCGCCTAACCGGCGTTTACATTAACTCATTAGATGTCAGAGCAGAATTAATATAGGTTTATTTATTTCTGTGACATCAAAGCACGATGGCTTCACCTGCCATTACCTATATATACTGCTATTCCATGAATGTTGCAACATCAGTGTATGTAATAGAATAATATTTAAAGAGAATGTAAATGTTAGTGGATTCTGAGGAGGGTATAATTGTGCTATTTTTTACAGTGATATTCACACTGTACCGGCCCTGGGACCACTCGATTTAGAGGTTACAGAGTAAAAGGTATAGCTTATGAGGATATATACAGGAAATAACGGTTAACCTTAGACTTCAACAAGTGAAGATTGTAGTGATCGGGTAACCAGCCTGTTGGGAGTCGGTTCCAGAAGGCATCGGTTTGTAAGAAGAAACTGCTCGAGTGGAACTTACGTCTCACCAGGGGGGGATATGAAGGGAATGGAGGTGGTTCACTATCATGTGCGTGGCATGGTGAGTCTTAGTCGTGAAGGATAGGACTGGTAGAACTAAGGAGTGTAGTTCATTTGAACACTCACCATGGAAATAGTCATAGATCAGTGAGTCTTACGACATCTCGTCTGTGAGGAAGGGGTTGCAGAGTGGAAAGTAATTCATCGCCTAAAAGGACGCGGAGACGCTTTTGGACTCTATCGAGACTGGAAAGTGAAGACTGGGCAGCTCTCGCACATATAAGGCAGCATTACTCCATTTTTAGCCTGAGCTGGTCCTTATAAAGGATAGCAGGAGGAGTGAGGTACTTCCTGGAGGGGGATACTTCCTGGAAGGGGGGGTACTTGATACAGACCATTTTCTCGGCGTCTTTAACGATGTATCGCAATTCCCTGGTTCAGTTTAAGTTCCAATAGGCATTCAAGGCATGGTGCCTCCATGAGGGAACATGCGGTCATTATCCGTTCAATTGGTAAAATTTCTGATTCCGATAGTTAATGTTGGAAGTTTAGTAGTTTCGTCTTTGTGGCATTGAATTTAACCAGCTAGTTTTTTTTTTCCCACTGAGCTGCTAGTCTTTTTGAATTTTAACCCTGAAGATGATTGCATAATATGCTGACCGAAACGTTGTCGTAAAAAAAATGTATGTCATCAACTGTCCAAACTTTAAATGTGAGGAAGTGGCGCAAATTTCCAACGATGAATACGTAGTCAAGTATTTCGCAGGGCATTTTAAAAATCTATTTTGTGATTAAAAATGACATGAATGACTTCCCATTTGAAAAATATTTTTGTCCGATTTCGAAGCATAAATGTAATTCTACCTATGGTAGAATTAATTGATATGTCAGTAACTCTTCCTAATCGGATTACGTCCATTACGATAATGACAAGAATATAACCCGTAAATGATCAAGGTTATATCCTGGGGCGCTCAGTTGAAAGATTTCTTCATATATGTATTTTTTATCCATTGATTCTTTTTCCTATGACGAGATGGAAATTCATTGGATATTTAGTAGGCCTGGTGTGTTAACGCCTGACACCAAACAGATAGGAATGAGGTGGAGGTGAGGAAGATTGTTTTGCGTCAGTCTATCAATTGAGTAGGCCGAAACAAAAATGGAAATCGCATTGCTAAATCTTGGATTTTATCAAATCAATTACGATTATATTTCCTGTTTCCATAGCAAAGGTCCTTTACTTCCACCATTACGAAACATTACGTCATACCACTACAACGAAGCCGAATCACATTAATTTCCCCCGCATTCCAAATATAAGGAGAAAATGTCTACCCAACAACTGCTATTTTGTGGACCAGACTCCAGTGTCATTGCTTCTCTGAACAGCAGAATCTTAACCTCTTCAAGTCAAGAGTCAATCATTATTTATCCTCTTTATCCTCATAATCTTCACTTTCTACTACCTCCACTTTCATTCATGACAAACCATTCAATGAGCATCTACCTTAAGTGGCTCTCGAATGTTGTATCAAATCCACCATTACTATTTAGTATTAAAGCATTATGAAATTAGACTGGATAAAAGTACTGGTAGTCTACAGACTCTGAGAAAATACTAACCCTACCAGCTTTCTCGGATTTACTTACATTTACTTAAGACCCGTGAAATATTTTGCCCAGTTTTTTAATGGAAAAAGGGAGTTTATCTACAGTCAAATGTGAAAATAAAAATTAACACGCGAGAAAATAATTGAATAGACTTAAATAAGAAAATAGCAAATTCTTAAACCCACTCCCGATAATGTCGTTCTTAGATTAAAACCCAGTCCCTATTGTGTCGTTTTTAGTTGGAAAGCTAATCCCTATACTGTCGTTCTTAGATTGAAACCCAGTCCCTATTGTGTCGTTCTTAGTTTGAATCGCAGTCATTACTGTGTCGTTCTTAGTTTGAAACCCTATCCATATTGTGTCGTTCTTAGTTTGAAATGCATCCTTATTGTGACGTATTAGTTTGAAACCCAGTCCCTATTGTGTCGTTTTTAGTTTGAAATCCAGTCCATCTTCTATCGTTCTTAGTTTGAAACCCAGTCCCTATAGTGTCGTTCTTAGTTTGAAACCCACTCCCTATCGTTCTTAGTTTGAAATCCGGTCCATCTTGTGTTGTTCTTAGTTTGAAGCCTACTCCTTGTTGTGTCGTTCTTAGTTTCAAACCCTGTCCCTATTGTGTCGTTCTTAATTTGAAACCATGTCCCTGTGGTGTCGTTCTTAATTTGAAACCCAATCCCTACTGTGTAGTACTTAGTTTGAAACCCATTCCCTGTCGTGTCGTTCTTAGTTTGAAACCTAGTTCCTATAGTGTCGTTCTTAGTTTGAAACCCTGTCCATATTGTGTCATTCTTAGCTTGAAATCCAGTCCCTGTTGTGTCGTTCTTACTTTGAAAAGCAGTCTTTATAGTGTCGTTCGTCGTCTTATAAATCAAGCCGGCTATACTTACAATGTAAATGTAGTATGAATTACGAATTTGTAATTTTTACTACCAATTTTATCTTGACTTTTTTTATCAAATTCAACAAGGCAACTACATCAGCCATCAAGCGGGCTATAAAATAAGAATTTGAAACCTAGTCTTACCACCGATTACATTCCCTGGTGCCCCGACTACATGAATTTATACGTATAACTGGAGTGGCATTTAGGTCCCACCCATTTACTGTTGAAATAGTTAAATGCAGCCCCCACTTCCACTCAAACAGTTTATTTTTTCATACTTCCCACCTGTGGAACTCTCTTCTGTGTACTTACTTCCATAATCTTCAATAATTTAAATGCAACGTCAATCTTCTCTCTCATTTTCTCTCGCTGTAACCCCTTGCGTACTAGTGGCATTCCAGCTTTGCCTGGGGTGAAATAATTAAAAAAAGAATAAAATAAATAAATAAATATATTTGAGCTTTCAAGGATTTAGGAAAATTAATTGTTCATAATCGAATTTACAGACCTGGAAAAAGATGGGCCCATTTGACACATTGAGAGAAGCACAAGTGACATCGGGCGAATGAGATCATCCCAAGGAAAACAAGACAAGAAAAAAAATGGAGTCCACGACAAATCATAATCACTCAATGGTATTTGCATGAATGTAATGAACCCGACTGGAATTTGAACTCGGCTCTCCGATTTTTCATTCCTTGCCGTCATATCAGTCGCACATCCAAGCTTAATGGTCTACGAAGCCGTAACTCCCTTAGCTATGGAGCGCCCGGTTACACATCTCGGTAAGGAAAAAAACCGGTGTTTCAATGTAATGTGTTTTTTTTTTTTGTTATTTAAGGAAATCATTTCATTTTATTCAGTTTTTGCGCCGCCGCCTTGGTCACCACTCCCATCCATCTTACAATTGTGGTTCATAGTGACATTCAAATCAAAATAGTGCAACAGCTTTCCTTTTTCATCAGGGATGTTAAGATTACCCCGCCCCTCCTCTCAGAGGTTGATTTGTTTTTGAATTTATCTTCTTCTAGCCTTTGTCTAAAAAGGTCGGACCTACAAGGCAGCCGATGATTTGAATTCAGAGATTCCTTCTCCCAGACTGTTTGCCACTCAGGGCTATAGGATCCAATGTGTCCTACTATTTTACCCATAGCCGGGGGACTGATTCATAATTTTCCCAAGGCTTTTAGCGCGTAAGTGAATCTCAGGAATTCGAATGCAATCCGAACTCGGCTCTCCGATTCCTCAATCCTTGCTTCTATATTTAGGAAAAGCCAACTTTCAAATGGCTTTCAAAAATGTTGCCTTTCAAAATAGAGGAGAAATTTTCTTTGAAAGATAACAGACG